TCCTCGATGACCGAGCAAGATTGGCCAAAACGTATGGGACGATAAAGTTAATTTACTCCGTCGGTGTCTTGTGTTTGCTCGTTGTTTTGATGGCGAATATTTCACGCTACTTGCAGTTGCAGTGGCAGCCAGAGTCGGTCAAAAGGTGCCTCCGATCAGCGTCTGTCATGCATCATTAGCGGTCTCAAAGGCGACCGATCTGGGTCCAATATTCAGACGTATATACACGTCGACAAGCTGCAAAGTCCATAATTAGTCATGTGCGTTGCCCGACAGTCGTACGCCTGCTGACAGATGTCCTGATCTATTCTTATTGCTTGTGGTTCCAGTATCGGAACAATAAGAAAATTGCATTCATTGGCAGGGGGTCGGCGAAGGTTATTAGTCATTGATATGCGCATTTGTAGGCCGCACCTTCGAGCATGTGTATCTGGATCTGGGTCTGGGCCTGGCTCTTTCTCTATGAGTCGATTCAATTTCCCAGTTATCTGTCTATTAACAAAGGTTCTGTTCACATGTGGTAAGGGTTACTTATGGCAACTTATCAATGGTTAAACTGGGAGCGGTCTTTTGAAGTGTCTATGGAAAGGAGAAACCGTTAAGGGAAAAATTATTTAGCATTAATTCGTTCACTTTCGATTGCTATATTGGTAAATATTATATCAATTTGTGATTTGGGAAAAATCTATTTAATTTTATTTTTTGTTCGATGATTTTTCCTCATGACTTTGCACACAACATTAGCCTCCTCTTAACTATAGCCGCTAATAATCACGGTATTTGGATAATTCGCCATAGCACTTATGCTTCAAACGCTATGCCAGCAATTTCTTTTTTTTCCATACCCCAAATGACGCCACAGTGAACACTCATTAGGCACACGCCAAACAAGCTGCGCACCATTCACCCGGGCACCTTTTACCATTTTCCCCAGGATGCCACACTTTGTTCAACTATCGCCATCTAATGTCCAGTCCACCAGTCCACCAATCCAACAGCCAATTAATTACCCTCGAGAAACAAAAAGTCACTAAATCATTTTGAACTTGACATTCGGTGCGAGGCGAATGCAAATGCAAATCCACATCCGAATGTCTGGCTCTCGACTCCAGGTGAGGCAATTAACGGGGGGCCTGTGAGTCCAAAATCGGAGAGGTGTCGCGTTTGCATGGCCTCTGAAACTGGTCAACCGGCTGGAGACTTTTCTTTGACGAAGGAAGGCAGAAAACTATATTGGCCGGCCAAATGATTTAATGAGCATTTATGCAAATGATCAGGCCAAATGTGTCCGACATTCTTCTCCTGGCGTTGTAACTTTTGGTGTTATCCTTTGAGCATCCTGTACGTTCAGACCTCGTAAATCATTCACAATGTGTGTTTGCATATGTGCCCAGGGGTGTGTGGGCCTTCAGATCGAATCTATAGGGGGAAAAAACACATGCCCAAGCCGAAACCCAAACCCAAAAACCTACAAACAAAAGAGGGGCAGTGGCCGATGACACTTTTGGCTGCAATCAGGCGTAAAAAGATGCTGCCCGAAAGCAATTTTCACTTTTGGTTTTTCGGTTTCTGTTTGCGTTTTTCCTTTGCGAATCGATGGGCAGAAATACAAAAAGACGAGGCCGGGAGAATGGGAGAAGGGGAGGGAATCCGGAGGGTCCCATCATCAATATTGCAACAATGCGACACAATTTCGGCATCAGTCTTAGGTAAAGGAAAGAGCGGTTCAGACTTTGAAGGTACCCCATGATTTATCTTTTCTGATATCGAAGAATATATAAAAATATTGTATTTAAGAAAAATGAAAAACCATTTTAGAAAATTTTAAGGGTAACAAATGTGGATTTTCAAAGTAGAAATTCACCATTTAAAAAAATTATATCATAAAAATATATTTACTTCAATAAGTTGGTATGGAAGAGAACAGAAAATATATATATATTTTTTAATTATGATAAAATTTTTAAAATGAAAGGAAAAAAAGAAACTGTGAATTTGTGAATATACAATTTTTAAAGATATTTCATAATGGCATATAATTTTAATCATAAATAAATATATATTTAAATGCTAACGAAACTTTTAGTATGCTCATGAAATGCTTCTTTTAATGGGTGGTAGCAATTGTCTGGTCCGATCCATGGATGAATGGTCAGACACCCAAGCCGCAGTGACAATCTCCGAGCGTTTCCCTTCGAAGTCCCTTTTGCGACGTGTCTCTGTGTTTATGCGGTTGCCTTCTGGCTGCTTATTGATTTTGGTCAAGCTTTGTCTTCGTGCTGTGGTCGCTCCGAGCAGTGAAATCAATTGGAAAATGCGCTTAATGATTTTCCAAGATTTGTGCTCTTGCTCTAATGGCTAAACTGTACTTTGGAGTGGGGCATTGGGTAAGAGGGAGATTGCACAGAAATCCCCGATATTGCCACGCCCATTTCCTATTGTCGGCAAGGAATGCATAAAGAAATTTAAAGGGGGAAAATGGGCAGATGGACTAACTTTTACAGAAGGGGGTTGCACCTTTAAAAGCGATACAAAATGTGCAGCCCGATGTCCTCTTTCCCTTTCCCCGCTGGCCCAATTATGTCAACTTCTTGAACCGATCCTTGAAGTTCACTTCTTAGTTCACAATTCAGGGCGGAAGTGTGCGCCGCTTGCAATTTGAAAACGATCAAGCGTATCTCGGATGCAATGAGCCCAGTAATTATGGGTGCTCATAAAGACGGTTCGCCGCGGGATGTTTGAGGAGTGAAGAACCCTTCTGGTGTCGCAGGATCAGCTTGGGTCAGTCTCTTGCAAGGGTCTTCAAGGATACGGGTAGATAGGCATCTTGGGTCTGCTAAAGTGCACAAAGCATTGCACTCGGGGTTTCTTGGTGCATTACAAAATCGTATTGCAATTTTTTATTACATTTTTAAACATCTTGGAATCTATGATCCCCCACTGTGACTTTTATTTCGCTAAATACAACAGCTTCAACCATTTAAGTTATCAATTTACAGATGTTCCTTAAGATTAATATAACAAGACGAAGCTGGCCTAACATTTATTGGCAAGAAAGAAAATAAGATCTTTGACTTCTATATCAATAGAGCGGAGAATAGAATATGTCAATATACGAAAGTATTTTTAGAATGCTTTAACAATTTCCTTGAAATCCTCAAAAAATCTCCATTAAAGATTTTATTTTTTAAACAGGTATGAAATTATTTATAGACTCTTAAATATACCTCACTTCCTCTTAAACCTTTACCAAAAGGTCCAAATTCAATTACAAAATTTTCAATTAATGTGATGGCCACCCCGCTGGGCAGAGATAACAAGACATTCTAGTGCTGGCTTCGCATATGGTCCAAAGTCAGCTCCCACACTCAGTTAAACACACTTGTAGCCCTGGGATGTGGGCCCACTCGAAATGGGGCCATTTCAATCGACTACATTAACAATATTGCCAGTGACCCGGCTCAAGGAGAGGAAAGGTCCAACGCCCAAAAGGGCTAAACATGAAAATTATGCGTGTCCATTCGGAGTTTTGGGCTCTGTCTAACGCCACTCCATTCGATTTTACGAGCCAAGGTGAAAAAGCTTTTAATGCCAGTCAAGGGAATGAGTTTTTTGGTTTTAAATTTCCGTTTAGTTTTAGGGGCGTTTTTCGGCACGCGTCCTGGCAAATCCTCGCACCTTTTTTTCCCCCAAATCATTTACAGATGAAAGTTTCAGATTGGCAAAGACGATTAATATCACTTAATTAAGGTGAAAATGTAGATGCCTGACAGCTGTCAAAAGCGAATGAAACGTATCAAATGGCAGTAGAGCAACAACAACGAAAAAAGTAGTAAAATACAGGAAATCAAATATCATTTTTTTATCCCTATTTTTAGCATTTTTTCGGGTGGTTTTTCGTCTTTGCCCAATTGCCCAATGTCGGGATTAGGGATTGTGCCGAAAACATATATTAATAGTCTCTCGGCCCGGAACAATGACAGCAATCAAATCGCATTTGCCGTTATGCCAAAAGCGGATTTTTGATGGCAATCAATCAGAAAAGTGCCCCGAAAAAAAGAACTCGCTTCTCGGATTGTTTTCCCTTGTTTTTGCCAATCGGTTTGTGTATGATTTCGGGGTGAAATCAAAGCGCATTTAACTTTTGTGGTTGTGCAGATATTCGGGAGGAGAATTTTCGCAATCTGCCATCATCAGCCCCTAAGCGAAAATTTCTAACAGCAATGGGCTGTCAACGAGTGTGCGAGTTGGGTTCTAAACCGGAGTTGGGATCTCGGGGAGGAGTTGTCTAAAGGCCACAGACTGCAATTTAATCTGGCCTGACAAGTGTTGTCTCTCTAAATTTTGGGGCAGCATTATAAAAGCCGGATTTGTTTGTCAGACTGCCTATTAAATTTTGTTTCACACTGTGAAAAATATTCTAATTTTTATAATCCATTATATATTTTGAAACTAACTAGATTGTTTTGGATTAGATTAAAAATGAACACAAAAATTAATTGGATTTTTAAAATAATTTTGGTTGAAAAAAATTAAAAATATAGAACATTTAAAACCTTTTTTTTAGAAGTAACAATTCTACTTCACTTTAAATACCACCACTTTTTCCGAGTGTACTGCAGTCAGCTGGGCACACACTCATAGAGATAATGGACTCCGTAGCATTCACTGCACCACCGAATCGATAACAATGGACTGGTTAATTGAATTGCCCAAACCAAATGGTCTCGGTCTTTTGAATGCGTGGGCCGTATTGACCAAATACCAAGGTTGTGTTGTTGCGGAATAATGTCCCGACTTTAATTGTATCGATTTCATTTGAATTTCGTTAGCGCATTGTCCATATATGTTTATGGCTTTCGAAAGTACAAAACAAAGGAAAGAATATGTTTTCTGGACTGTTTTATGCTCCTGACAAGGTTAGCCTGTAAGAAGATAGAAACGATTGATAGCTGTCTTGAATCAATAAATAAGAAAAGGTTTACCAAAGCTAATACGAAAATATTTTAAGCTACTCACATCTTAAACTTTATTAATTGCTAAAAATACAATTTTCACGCACATACAAATAGTCAAACAACTCTAAACACTAAACAACTTAGCCACTAACAAAGATTTACATAGACATCATTTATCATACATATAGCGAGCGAAAGAAAATACAAGTGATGAGAAATAATAGAGATATAAATAAACATTAGATGCGAGCTACAGCTACATCATTCTAAGACTTGGGCTTTCGACTTCGGTTGGGCGTGGGTCTCAACGAACGCCTTGTAGTGGTCACCGCATTAGTGGTTGTGGCAGTACTGGTTTCAGGTGGTTCCGATGATGTAGCGGGTGGTTCAGTGGATGAAGTGGTTGATGTGGTGCGTCTCCCACTTGGACGCTCCCGATAAACGCACATTAGTTCGTCAGCAGCATCGGGACAATCTATTTGCTAGAGAAAGTACATCAAACAAATTTATAAAAATATTTTTAAAGCTTTTTATTTATTTTATTTTAATCTCTAAAAGAAAAGATATTTATTTTATGAAATAACAAATTTAAAATAATCCTCAGTTATTAAAAAATCGTGTATTAAATATCATATCTTACCTTATCGCACAGTTGACTGACTGTGATGCACTTGCCACTCACGCATCGAAGTTCGTGGGGAAGACAACCACCTGGAGCAGTCACCAATTCGAAGAGCGTGGGCATCGATGTGGGTGGGTCAATTGTGGTTGAAGTGGTGCTAGTTGTACTAGGGGTACTTGTACTGGTGGTCCTCTCTCTTTCCCGCTGCTGGACCAACGCCGAACTGGGAATCGCACTTGCAGTTCTGGCCGCCGGAGTTGTGGGTGCTCCTACGCTAAACTTCACAGAGGTTCTATTTGCTCTCTGGGAATATTTAAACTTGTTCTCCGAATCGCTGGTCATCATTATCTCCTTGCTATCACGAAAGTTCACTGGGAGAAAATAATAAAACGTCGAAATAGTAAAAGAATTAGAAAAAACAATCAGCCAAGATTCAGCCATAGAAAAAAATGAGGAATGAAAATATGTGCAGTTAAAGATACTTTTTATTAAACATGTTATTATACAACATTTTAAATATTATAAAATATGATTTGTATAGCATAGAAAACTGTACAAGAAGTTTATATTATTATATTTATAAGTGTAAAGATATATTTAACTTTACAATAAATCTTAACTTAACCACTTTTATCAAATGAAGCTAATAAATAATATTTGCTTATAATTTTTAGAGAAACTTACTTTATAATTGAAATATACCAATTTTGTGCTCAGTTCACAAGTAATCGAAAATAAAGATTCTGTAATTTTTTCGGGTTGTTTGTTTACTTACCAAATCCTTTGGGCCCTCCAGCAGGTTCCTCAGCACTAGAATTTACCGGCGGAGCAGGAGCAGCCACCTTGTGTATCTGGAACTTGGTCTCCGTGCCCGCATCCTCATCGGTGGTGGCCGTTATATAGGTGTATAGCTTATCATTTGTCTCATTTGGAGATAAGAAACTGGCGTAGGAAAATACCCTTGGGAAGGCGTTCAGTTCGGCCTCATCGAAAGGAGCCAAGTCCCCCGATCCGTAGTCATCACAGTCCTCCTCATCACTGCCATCGAAGCAATCAAAGTTTTGATCACAACGAAGTTTTTCTGCGATACATTTCTCATTCGAGCGACACCGGAATTCATCCTCTTCACAAACCAAACATTGCTCATCCTCATCTTCGCCACCTAGGCAATCCTTGATCTTATCACACTGCCAGTTTTGGGGTATGCAACTCCCGTCATGACATTGGAACTCGTTGCCATAGCAATGAGCTCGTCTCCTCGTGGAATCCTCGCATTTGTGGCTCTCGTGGGCATCAGGATATAAGCTGCAGTCGAACAGCTCGCTCAGGACATCCGAGTTGGCGATTGCTATGGAACAGGCCTCAAAAATCGCTATGAAATTGAAGGAAAATAATTAATATCAAATCTCAGATTAAGCTAAATTAAATTGTGAAATAATCAAATATAAATTGTACCTACTTCGCTTGCACAAATCAAATTATTCCCCCGGAAATATATATCCGCTGACTTACCCTTGCAGATGCGACGACAGGGCGGCAGCTGTCCGATGTGCGAGGGTCGACATTCGGGTTCCAGGGCGCCACAAATGAACTCAGCCGCCCTCGCCGAGCAGTTGGACCGGATGAGATTCTCGTAGGCTGCCATGGAGCCCGCATCCCGCGGCGCCGTTCCTTCGCGATTGTAGGTCAGATCGTAGTCCAGCACTCCCTGACACATGGGCAGCATGGTCGACTGGCAGCCACTGTTTGTCGTCGAGGGGGTGGTCAAGGTCATCGCCTGTGTGGGTCGCTCACTTGCTGCCGCGGGGGGCGGTAGGGTGGGGGACACCCGGGTCAAAGGATGTTCATCGCCAGCGGGAGTCCCCTGGGGTTTGGGCAGTAACTGTAAGGTAAAGGCAGTGGGAGAGGTGATAATTGGGTGACAATGGGATACCAGATGTTATAAATGAGGGTGAAAAAGAAAATATGGGACAGATTCAAGACCTCTTTGAAAATAAGTCGTATATTTAATTCAACGGTAACTAACTATTTTCAAGAAAATTTGAATTTTAAATAAATAAGTGTAAAACGTAAAATCTCCAAATTTAATGAAGTTTTTCTTAAATAAATTAAAGTGTATTTTGCACTTAAACTTCAACCTCCACTCACGTCTTTGAGCAACTGCAGCATTCGCTTGTCCTGCTCGATGGGCACCCCGAAGCTGTTCTGATGGCCCGAGGTGAATCTTATACTATCCGCTGGCAGCAGGGTGTCATCGTAGTCCCCATCGCCAACTTCGTCTCCATCCGATGGCTCACCATCCTCTGCCAACGATATTTCAGGCCATTCCGTACTCTCCCCACTATCATCCACCGCCTTGAGTCGTGTGGTTTCCTGGGGTCCCGTTTCGGTGGTGCTGCCGGTGGTTTCCTCATCCCAAACTTCGTTGCTGCTCGAGCTCGTGGATGTCAAAGTGGCTTCATAGCGACGCTGAAGGAATTTGGCTCTAGCCACGCTGACATCGTGAAGCCACAAACAGTAGGTGATCAGTCCGAAAAAGAGCAAAACACTCGCTACAAAAATAATGGGCCATCTAAGGTATTTCCACCGGCATGCTCGTCGAGCATAGCCCAACAGCATCCAGGGTGTCGGCTTCTCGGGCCCGTCCACTTTGCCATTCAGATAGTAATTAGCCGTCAATGGGTACTTGTAGCGTCGAACTTGAAGTTCGGCCAGGGTTTCGGGACTCCCCAGCATGCCAATGCGGTATTTCTGGGTCTCGCTCCAGCACGATTCGCCCGAGGTGCGGGAGTAGTCACTGTGATCTTTCACAGATACCTCATTATCATCGTCGATCGTCTGCACCGTGATGTTGAGGCCGTGGGGATATTTGGTGGGCTGACGTCTCAATCCGGTGACTGATGAGGTCTCATTCGCAATTACTTCCAGCTGCTTCTGTTCGGCCATTATTACCTGAGCTCACCTTTCGAATGGCCCCTCTAAATGTCAATTGCCAGAAGCTGCACAGGAAAAAATTTTAAAAAATTTATTTATAAAAAATATTTTCAAGAATATTATAAATAATAATTTTGTAGAAATATTAAATTTTTATTTAAAATCATAACTTGATGTTGATATTAAAATAGTAATTTAACTTTCCCTTTTCACTTTTCAATATCATTTTGTTTTATTTTTTTTTCAGTGCCCGTTTTTGTATTTCCCCCAGTTGCATAACCCCCAGGTAATGGACTTTGTCTAACTGATTTCCAAGACTCTTCAGCAGATTAGGGCTCTTCTCCTCTCTCCAGGAAAATACGGATTTGCGAAAGGCAATCGAATTGCAGATGAAAATGAAAGTGCCTGTCAATATTCATTTCGGCATTTCCACAATTTGTGGAAAGTTGTCAACCAGCCAAAGAGATTGCCGATCTTCAATCTACTGCTTCAATTAAGCTTAATTAATTCCACTGAAAAAACCGCAAGCGTCTTCAGTTAATCAAGAAGCAGCTGCAGCCATTCGGTTTGGATTTTCCCAAGCCATCAGTGGCGATAAATAATCTTAAAGCCTCGCATATACATATGTACGTACCGAGAAGCCCCAAAAGTATTGGCCAATAGTTTAGAAAAATTGAAATGCGAATTGCATTGGGCAAGAGATCGCCGGCAAGTGGCTGCTTCTGCTGCAGTAACTCCACATAGAGTTGCAGATACACAAAAGCCAGCGGAAAACTTGTTAGTCGGAAAAACGAAGAGCAAGCGAAAACAACCGAAACAACGGCAATAATAGTTGGAAATAAGCTGGTGAATCTGACTGACACGAAGAATTGATGCCCTGGGAGCGGTTATTATAAATGGTAATGTGCAAATGCAAAGCTGGAAATCGGATGCCAGAAAATGTCAAATCAAATGGTATTTGGTCTGTGCAATGCAACAACATTACATATTTTACGAACGATATTCTTTCGCAACGGTTTTCTCACAAAATATAATAAATATTTTACATTTTCTGATTTATCACTACTTATTTTTTTTCTTACTTGTTTCTTTTGCTACAAACAAATACATAAAATTAATCCTAAATTAAAAACTCATAAATATTTTTGTTTGACAAATTCAGCAATGCGGCAAATACAGGCGAACGGTTTCTTGTTAGTTGATGAAGTTATTTGATCTTTTGAACCCCATTTTTTAATGGTAAATAATTTTGTAACAAGGAGATGTTGATTTTTTAAAATTTCTTAAAGGAAAGATATTGTCATCATCACACGAATTTATGACTTGAATAATTATATTAGAGAGTCTAGTTACAATTTCTCAAGGCTATGATTTTATTAAAAACTAATTTGCAAAAAAATCTATAATTTTTGAGATGACTAAATGGAATATTTCTTAGTAGTACATCCAAAAAGCGCATTTTCTCTAAAAATTGTTGGGTTCAAGCAGAGTTGCCTTACTTAAGACGTCACTCGGTGTTATGCATTCATGTAACTGCGACTTTGTACCCTTTTCGCCTGGATTGGCATTACGAGTGCGATGATCAAAAGGCGCTTGAGCTTGGCGGCCACAGTTGGCTGAGTGTCGAGTGCTGAAGTGTTTGGTTTTGCTTTGTATATGTGTATGTATATTTCTTTGGCTTTGGCTCAGACAACTCCAGACGGGATTGCTCCTCTTGCTACAACTGCTGCCCAACTGGTGCTAGTGACCTTTTCACTTTTGTTTTCGTTGCTGCCTGACTGCCTCAGCCGGCTTACTGCCAAGTTGCAAGTAGCCAAGTTGCCCAGTTTCCATGCTACCTCAAGTGTTGCCGCTTCTTGTTGGGAAGCTCAAGAGGCGGAGACTGCGGCCTATTAATGGGTACCAAATTTGCAGCACAAAGAAAAATATATAATACCATAGTTATCTAGTTTAATACAGACAACTTAATTGCATTTTAAGTATGATCAATTATGTTTTAACTTTGATCGACCCGAACGTATACAATTCCTAGACTAAGAAGAAAAATCAGATCAGATCTTGACTAAAATATGATTTCTTTTCTTTCTGAACACTAAACATCTCCGGTTAATATTTTTCTCAGTGCATCAACATCTGCTCTGCCGTTCGTTGCTCGATTAATGAGCTGCAGTCCGGCACTCAACTCTTGCCTCTTCAACTCCTCTCAGGTGTGCAAAATCTTTCGCTCATTTTTTTTTGTTTGGCAGGGTTATTAAGAGTTTTGCTGGCGGCTTTAAAGATTTGGCTAAGGTCAGTTGAATGGAGGAAAATGCTAGCCAAGTAAGCAATCGACAGAAAGGTCATAACAGCAATTGACGGAGTACTGTGAAGAACCTTGCTTTAGGGTCGAGACTCGAACCTCGATGGGTGTAACCAAAGAGCACGATTACCGGGGTAAGGTGGGTCTTAAATTTCTGCGGTGAATGTGGAGTAGGGAACATGGGGTTTTTTTTGTAACGTACTTAACGACCGATGAGCATGTCAGGCTGCGTGGGTAATGAGGTAATCTGAGTACAAAGTGAGTACTTTTAGTGGTTTTTCGTTTGGCAGATAAAAAAGATCTCCTCTCAATTACAGCCTCAGTTTTGTTTCACAGTCAGTCACGCACCTATCTAGATCTTTGGCAACCTGTCTAATTAGTAACTGTAACTGAAGCCGATATCTGAGCGGCTGTATCTTAGGCTGAAAAGCACTTCCAGGCATTGTTCAATCGCTCGTTTGGCCAGTCATTAGAACACCTTTCGGCAATGGCATGCCTCAATGCCCAGCACTGTACTTGAGGCCCCTCTCTAGTGCAATCTTCAATCGGTCGAACATAGTTCGCTTGCCCAACTCGATATAATTTTGTATAGTTTTAGTGGCTCTGAAGTTGGCCATTTCACACGTCGAACTAGAACGAAACTAGCTTGGAATGCACTCGGAAAAAAGATTTTTAAAAAATGTAAAAACAATATTTTTTCGGTTTAAAGAAAATTTTTTAAAAGTTATAATGTTTTGGGCCTATTCAACTTTCTTAATAGTGACTGTTAATTATATATTTTGTATTTATATTAAAATAGTTGTTTTTCTAATTAATTTAAAAAAAAACAAATTTCACCTAAAAAATATTAATTTTGTTCATCTTTTAATAATCTAATGATTCGTTTTTTCTAAGAAATAATCCTTAAAGAAAAATTTTTTTATTAAAATGCACAACTTGCCAAGTTTTTTTTATTGGAAACCAATTTTTTGCCAGTGCATGCCTTGCATTCCTGGTCAGTTAGATTGCATTGAAACATTGCAGCATCCACTGAAAAATGCCAGCTTATAAGTTAAGTCATTTTGTGACTTGGAGCTCAGCAGCAGCAAAGTAGCAAGGCAGCAAATGCAATTGCAACTGCACAGTTCAAAGTTATTTTGTACAAATAAATTGTTTATGCTTTTCGATTTTATTTTGCCTCGGCCAAAGTACGTGCCATGCGATGTTTTTCTGTGCGAGGTGAGCCGGCGACTCTGACCAGTCCAAGTGCGATTAGAAGTCGGGACCTGAAACTGAAGCTAAAACTGAAGCTCAATCTGAATCTATATGCGAAGCTGAGGCCAGCTGCCTTCCGAAGCAGTTAGCGGGTGGATTATGGCAGTTAGACATACCGATTATGGCCTTACATGAGCATACAACTTGCTACAGTTTGGCTAGTTCAATTCTGAGTCATATTTGGAGAACAGAAGATCAAGAGGAGCTCGAGCTGTAAGCAGGGTTATGACAACCAGCGAGATCGGTCGTGTTTGGGTCGAGGTGGACTGGGCTGATTAGATGGCTGTAGACTCAATAGATTCCACCGATGCTGTCCGATTAAGCCATCGATCATTGTTGACATTTTAACAGATGGTGGGTGGATAAAGGCACGTCTGTGGTTTAATTGACTTTTGATCCACGGATACTTAAATACAATACAATCTCCCGTTCTTTCAACTGGATGCTTATTACCGCATAAGCAACTTTAATTACTTTTGCATTCTTTGGCTCCCTTTGTTATGCGATCGCAAAAACTGATCAGTCATGGTTTTGCGAATTCTCTTTCAATTTATTTACTACCACTTATTGATCATGATCATGATATTCATTGAGTTAATGTCTGATACAAAAAAGTTTTTACAGCGTATAATTATCATCATATTGATTACTAGCCTGGTCATAATCCTTGGAATTCATGTAATTGTTAAGTTTTGAAATCTTATTAAGAAATGTCGATCGTTATAATACGTTGCTATTAACACTTACTACCGTTTACATTTATTTTGAGTGTTTGTTGTTAAAATTAATAAAGGTTTTTTTTGGCTCTTGCATTGCAAAAGTAAAAGGAAGTCGTGTAAAAAAATAACTTTACGTAGTCTTGAAAGTTTAAATCATTTTTAAAGTGCTTTATTATTACTTGTTAAACCAAAATAACAATTTAATTGAATTAAATCGATTATATTTAATCAGTAAATATTATTTTTTTCAATCATCAATCCCTTATTTCTTTTTATATTTAAATTTAAATATCAAAAAATTTCGAATAATAACTTGGTTCTTCCAAGAAATATTCTCTCAAAAAGATCACTCTCATTTTCAACATCTTGTGGTCAGACGCCAAAAAAGTGATGTCAGAATTCTTCTACCATCAGCGTTATGATAATTGGTTAACATCGAAATAAACTTAGAAAGGTTTTTTTCACGAACATATATCATTTAACTTCTTATAATCACTCAACTGGAGAATGATCTCAGAAAAAGTCCACTGACAACCACAATCTTCTAATCTAATCTTCTGATCTATGAAAACGTCTTCTATTCGTTTAATTCACCAATAACTCGTTGATATTTACGCACGTATAAGTTTAGGCAATGTATAGCATTATTTTATTTCACTTTAAGACATGAGCTTCACTTAAATCTCTATGCTAAATCTGCTTGTCATGGGAGCAATTATTCCATCAATCAGGCCTACAAGAGATCTTCGCATCTGCACAATCATCAAACGCCAGACGGTGGATTCTTGTTTGCACTTTGTCTATGTTCCACCTGTTTGCTCATTTGAATAAATTTGTAATTAATGCAGCTACCAGATTTTCAGATCTCTGTTTCACACCAGCCCAAACACTCGTTCGATGATGATGATCGTAGCTCACACGAGAACCGCACTTTTGTCACTTTTCCACGCTTTTTGGATTCACTTTGCGGTCGAGATTTTATTTTATTATTTTGTATATTGTTGCAGGGCAACCGCGAATGTTTATGGATATGCGAATGTGAGTGCTCGACATTCATGTTATGTTAATCAATGTTGATTGCAACTTTATTTTTTCGCTTCCATTTTTTTGCTTTAATTAAAAGTGCAAACTTCAAAATTAATTAAAGTGACTTTGGTTTTGGTTTGCACATGGCAATTTGAGCTTGTTGCACTGTAATTACGGGCGTCTTAATTTGCATAAAAATTTCGTTTGGCAAGCATTTGTCGGGCATTTTTCAGCACACCAATAATTGTGGGAGGCTTCTTTGTTTTGTCAGATTTAAATATTTCAAGTTTCGCAGTTTGATAAAACACTGTAATTTTTTTAAGATTGGTCATACACTTCACTCAATCAATCACAAATAATTTTACGCTCTGTCTATAATTGCAGACTATTTTTCCCCAAAGCAAAAAAACTCACGCTTTACACTTGTTGTAAATTTTTGAAGATTTATTGAACCCGCTTCTTTCTTAGCCGCATCCGCGCGATCGGCTGCCAAAAAACCGACTGAAAGATACAAGCTCGGCTGAAGAAGCCAAAAACCCAAAGCTTCTCTTTTTGATTCTTCTGAAAGAGTCCAACACGAAGCTCACCTCAACTCGGCTTGGCTTTCGGTTTCGATTTGATTTCGCTTTCGAGCCCAATCCACGGATCGGGTCTCAAATCGCCGGCACTTCGAGTTTCTCTCTTAAAACCAGCTTTGATCACTCTTAAAATGCACTTTAACTCTTTGTTTTTCCCCGATTGCTTGAAGTCATTGGTTCACTGTGTCGCCTGGGATTTTTTCTTTTTTTTTTTTTTTTTCGGCTGCGGAGCCAATACTTTAATGGCTCTTTGCAACGTGACGTTTAAGTTATGATGAGATCGTTTTGGCAGACTTTTATGCGGTCGTATGTGTGCGGCATGAAGCGTGCCCAGGGGCTGTAAAGAATGTTTTAATGTTGGAGTTGTGACAAAAAAAACTGTCGTTACCGGTTGTCGGTCTTGGGTAGTTTTTCTGGGTTCGTTTGGGCAGAGGTTTCTGCAATTGGCTTATGGAAATTTCGCACATGTGGGTGACTAAAAAAGTGGCTTAAGTGGAAGCAGCAGATGAGTCATGGGATGCCAAAAATGGTAGAATTACGGTCTAGTAACTATTTTAAGATTACCATAGATACGAAAAAACGTACCCAAGTCAAATTAATAATAAATACTTTAAAATAATTTTTTATAATTTTAGAATTATATTCCCTCTAAACCTTTAAAATTCAAGCTACCACTGAAAATAAGAAATATAAATACAGAAGCCTTTTCTTGACTGAACTTTAAATATATTTATATTGATTTTCAATTTTTATTTACAATATTTTGTTAATTTTTTTAACTTTACCAACAATTTATTACTAGATGCAAAGCGAATGCTTGTTAATAATGTTTATGCACTATATTACTTATAACTTCTAACTTTACCCCGTTTTTGTTTGAATTAATGCAAGTCCTCGGAGATATATCTCCCGATTATTGGAGCTGGTGGATACAAACGCATTGTCTCCTTGATCACGCACTCGAGATATTTTAGATCAAGTAACAGGGACTGAGACACGGGAGAGTTGGGATTTGGACCCAGCACAGCAGTGCATCTCCACTGGTGGTGGGGTCATCTCCCGCGAATATGAAGACTGTTAGTTCGTATCAGTAGGGAAGAGGTCTGTAGGTTGGTACGGTCTTTAAGTTGGAACACCCAACTTTCTCAAAACTTTTCCACTAAACAAATTTTTTTTTATTTTTTTTTAAATCCTTTTTAGTGACAAAACTTTTAGGAAAAATATTATAAGCCAGGCTCAAGCCAAATTTGAGCAAAAAAGTTTTTGTCTACTTTTTTCAAAATTCTATTAAAAATTAATAACGGGATTAATTAATTTGACTGTCAGAAAAAAAGATATTAATTTTTTCGAAACTATCAATTTTGTGTAAGTTGGTATACTTTAAGCGTGTAAGATGGGACAACAATATTTGTTATTGTTTTTTTTATATAACTAATAGACTTACTTTTCAATCAGTACCTAATTCGTGAAGTTTCATAAGTGAATGACGGTCTAGTACAAACTTTGTATTATTTTATTAATTTGGCTGATGTATATAATAAAATAAATAAAAAACAAAAACTGTTTATCAAATTGATAATTTTATTTATTATGTAGTTTTTCTAGGCCTGAGGCCAATATTACATCCTGTAGAGGAACTCAATATAAATGTATATGTTGGATTGGGGTCCGCTCCAAGCGGAAGTAATTCGTAATGTCGTATGACCTTACTTATCAACGTTTTTATTTGGAGGTAGGCGAACTTCTTTCCTATGCAGTTCTTGGGTCCTGAACTAAAAGGAATATAAGCATAGGTAGGGAGAGACGCCTCTTTGCCATTCAGCCATCGTTCGGGCCTAAAAACAAGGGGATCAGGAAAGTATTTTGGATCTCGGAAGACATAGTACGGCATTAGTAAAACGCTTGTATCGCCGGGAATCGTTTTATCCCCCACTCTCAAGTCCTCGGGGATGTATCTACCGACTATTGGAACTGGCGGATACAAACGCATTGTCTCCTTGATCACGCACTCAAGATATTTTAGATCCAGTAACAGGGACTGGGTCACTGGAGAGTTGGGATCTGGACCCAGCACAGACAATAGCTCCTCGTAGATGCACTGCTGCACTTTGGGATGCCTTGAAATGACACGTAAGGCATGGGATACCCCACTGGTGGTGGTGTCATCTCCCGCGAATATGAAGACGTTAACCTCCTCACGAATATCCTTATCGCTTAGGGGCTTATTTTCGATAGAGGCTTGCAGCAGGATGTCCAGAAGGGCCATTTTAGATTTACTACCGGTCTCTTCATCTCCCAGACCTAGAAGGTACAAATGTATTATTTGAATTGTCATATCAATTATATATAACCCACTCAGCGGTCTGTAGGTGCCGTCAACTTTTGACTGATCTAGAATCGCTCGTCTTTCGCGAATGACCTTGTCGGTAAAGTCTTGCATAATGCGCAAATCTCTTTGCAATCGCCGGTAAACCAATGGGGCTGCCAGCGGAAAAAGCCAGTCAAAACGCTGGAAGACACTTACCATCCGGTTCGACTCAATATAAACCACACTAAAAAGGATAGTAAGAGTAGAAAGGTTATTCTCCCTAGACAATATAATCGCACCTCTTAAGCGCCTTGGTGTAGGCGCAGTTAGGGTCGTTCTGGGCATTCACATGGACTCCCATGGCGGTCTCTAATATAAAAATATGTTTCTATTAAAATGTAATGAGCATTTACAATATACGGAATCTTACCTGTGGTCACATCAAGAGCTTCCAAAGATACATACTTGAAAAGGTCAATTGATGTTTTCCCATCTGCAACCGTTCTCAATTTCTCCACCATAATCCTACTGTTTCTATCCATTATATCCACAAAATATTCGAGGCATTTATAGTGAAAGGCGGGAGTTACAGCCTTCCTCCGAGAAATCCATTTTCTTCCCGTGCTTAAAAGAAGTCCATCGTTAAGGAAGTCACGCATATATCGGTAAAGCTCAGCCTTTTTCAGTAGGGTGCTACTGCTAAGAATGGCCTCAAAAACCTTCAAGTCCTTGGTATACATGTAGCTTTCGCCTAGGATCCAGATACGAAAGTTGTTGCCGTATTGATTGAAATATTTTCCAAACCTTTTGATCATATCTTAACCGGTTATATGAATTTAAAAATTAAAAAATATTTAATTTGCGAAGCTTTGTGTAGAACTTACTCTCCGGCTTCAAAGTCAATGCCTGCACTCCATTTCCCAATATAGGAATCGAAAGTGGTCCGGAGATTTTCGATCTCTCAAAAGTGGCAACTCGGCATCGCTTACGTCGGAAGTCCCAGACGAGAAGCAAGATCAGAGCTCCAATAATCAAAGATACCAACATCTCTTTGACAGTCCTGACCGTTAATTTCAGCTCAACGAGAATTAACGTTAGAAATGAGATTGCGATTGAGAATTGGTTAAAGTTCTTGACAGCCTCGCTGCTTTTGCTTGACTGCGGATTTTTATTAAAAGCCAAGGGAATACATTGCATATTTACTCCTTAATTATTAAATTATTGTTATAATTATTACTTAGATAAACTGCGCTCTAATTATTGTCACTTTATTTTGCAATAAAAAGTACTTAGAAAAATATTTATACAAGTTGAAAAAAAATTTATAAAAAAACGACTTTGTATTTAAGTTATATTGTTTAAATTAAATATTTCAACAAATTTATAGTTCCCTAGTTTAAAAAAAATTAATCAAAATAGAAAAAAAAGGTAACAAAATTTACAATTTCGGTAGAATGAACCTTAATCGTTCCTTAACAATACCTTCATAGATTGAAAAAAATCTAAGTGCACTTACGATAGTCAAACCTCTCTTAAATAACACAGGCCTATTGAAATGCTAGTAATAATGGCTTTATGAGATAAAATTGAATATTATATATTTAAATTACACTCAGACGTTATTAAAAATTTATAATTATACGTATCAACATTAATGAAGGTAGTAACCTTTGATTCACTTAAGTTAGTCGACGAGGCAACAAACCCATTAATTATTGTTATGATCATGTTCTTACTAACTATTGACCCTGTTTTGCGTATCGTATCGCAATTTCCTCAAGAAAATTTTGTTGTTGTTGTCAACTTAACAACAGAAAACAAAACGTTGAGCAAAAATAAGAAATATAAGAAAGGAAATAAAACGTATTGCCCAATGCACTTTGCGGCATCCACATGTGGTAGACTTGAATAAAAAACCAATCCTGGTCCCACACTCTGCCCCACTCCCACTCAGCTGTTAGGAGCCATGGCTATTTGGCCCCCACTTGGTGTCCGCGGACAAGTGCGCTATAATTGGCCTGGCCCGAACGACTCCGTTGCCAATGGAAATTCCTGCAGAAAGACCACAACGTCTACACTTCAGAAACTTCACAGGCAAAGCTTTAATAAATTCAAACAATTTAATTATATTTGGTCAATATATATATTTATCATATCTATAAAATAAACCTAATATTTATTTAAATATTATACAAATTACCAATTATAAAAAATATAAATATTAATAATTGTATGGCGTGGGAATGGAAATAAAAAAACAATTACTCTAATATTTTAAAATTATTTGAATCAGATTAAAGTGTATATAGTTTATTCTTGACTTAGTTGTTAAGTTTTTGTAATATGAGCTATTGAAATGTACATATTTTTATATCTATCTGATCTTGATAATATTATATGTTAAGAAATTTAAGAAAATTTGACCTCTTGTTATTTATTCTTGATCTTGATAATATTAAATGTTAAAAAGTTTAAGATAATTCGACCTTATGTATTTATTAATGGTTTTTTCTCTATGCAACGAAATCGATACGCAGTTTTTTATAGCCCATGCGGGGCACAAGGTTAGTGGATTTGTGGACTTTCGGTGCGTTCGATTTCAATTTCGATTTCGTTTGGCAGTTTCTGTGTCGCGACTTGGTTTTGTTTTTGGCATCGGTGACTTTGGTTATGGTTTCGGATTCGTTTGGGGTTTTCTCGCCGCTCTTTATGGCATTTTTGCAATTATGAATGGCCCGAGTCTCGGTCCGCATTCTAAATGTCAATGTTTTTGCACCCGAGCAGCTCGGGTGTCTTTTATTTTCATTTTTCCCCATGCATCTATGCATCTGCAAGATATTTTCGTGTTTTCCATTTGCTTTGATTTCCATTTGGCGGTATCCATGGCAAAAGAGGCAGAGGTTGACTTTTGAGTGTTTGTTCGCAAGCCGATCGCATGTGGAATTTCCGCTATTCACGACGACCCACCTTAAAAGCACAGGCTCCAGTCCGACTTCGACTTTGATTCGGAATCAGAAAATATTTGAACTGCTGTGCACTATTGAATGGGTACAATTTATATGAACAGCGGTTCGTTACCCCTTATAAAAACTGAAAAAATGTTATTTTTTTTATATGTACTGACTAAATTCAAATTTTGTATTTGTAATAAAAGATTATTAAATATTAAATAAAGTCAGTTAAATTTATATTATCTCGCTTTTTGACATTTGAAAATTTGTAAGTATCTAGAGCTTATATCCATTATATACAAATTAATTTTGTATAATCAGTACATTTGTCCCATTTTTAACACATTTAAATATTATTTTTTAATAATTAATTCATTTTATAAACCAAAAACTAACGTTAGAGAGTAGAGTATTTTATCTTTCGGGGTCAGTCGTCATTGCACGTAGTGAAAAATTTCATGCACTTCGAGTTGGGGGCCATAAATTTAGCGTGGCTTTGCCCATTGTGCGTTGGCTGCCACTGCGAAATCGAATCAATCATTTTGCACACACGAAAACGGAACAGATTCGGAAAAAATGCAATTGTGTTCACGAGGGGAGAGGTGGATAGTCGGTATTATGACAGCGTTAACAAAGCGCGGCCAACTTTAAGTGTTTAATTAACACAGAAAGAGTTCAACAAACACAAAAAGAGAGGCTCGACAACTCGAAAATCGCTCATACGCTCTGTTGAACTTCAAGCGCCAAAACACGCACAGGGAAACTAAAAAGTGAATTCGGCTTTATTTGGATAGTGAATGAATGTGAATACTCAGCTCCAAGGTGTACCAAGCTCTTGATTAATTGTGCAATTGAATTGAATTAAAAGCGTGTAAATAACTCGAGCAGTGAGAAGGAAATCAAGATATTTTTTCAAGAGAGCAGTGTTTTACCCCCCAATTCGCGTCATCTGATATGCAAAGTGGAGGAAAAAAGTAAAATAATGTCTCGGGTTAAATTGAATTTATAGTTAATGCAAATGAGCGGGAAACTGAAGAAAAAATTCAACATTGAATTGATTGAGGCAAGAGAGCGAAATATGCAAAAAGGAACATCGGACACAAACGTAAAAAAAATTATTAAAAAAAACTCAGCTAGCATTGCGCACACGAGCGAATTGCTCTCTGGCGATTACGATTAAACACGCTTGTAAATACTGGCTCAGAAAAAAAGCACATAAACTAAAAACAACATAACAAGAAAAAGCAGCAAAATATATAAAAGTCAAGCGGCTACTGCGTCGAGGTCGAAACGCAGGCGACCCAGGAAAGTCTTAGATGACTTCCCCAGCCAGAGGACAAACTGAAAAGGAAGTGGAAAATAAAAATGGTAATGGAAAGATTTGATGGAGCCACTCAATAAAAGAGATTTCATCAAGCTTCCGAGGAGATGGAAAATAAATTAAATCATTTTTCTGATCAAGGAAATAAAATGTAATTAAATGAAATGAAATTAAAAATAAAGTAATAAATAGATAAGAAAATATAAAAAAAATTTTAAAACTAATAAAATTTTATTTATTTTTGTATCTCTCTTGAGTGATTGTAAACTTATATTGCTTCCACTTGAATAAATGACTTAAAGCTATTATTGCCAATTACAAATAGAGGTAACAAAATACTACTTTAATTAACCAATTAAAAAGCTGTTTGATAGTCCCGGCATTTTAAAGGGTATCGCTGTCGTGCGATAAATATTTCGCACTTTTCGCGTCCAATTGAATTCGCTAACTGTTCAATGGAGTGAGTAATGTTCAGAGTTGACAACACAACACCAAGCACTCGAGAAGGGGGCGGATAGAGTTGTAGCTACAACATAGCTCAACCGATCTATATATAACCAGCAGCATTGGTATGTGCACAGCTAAAGCCAGGCAATCATCCGTATCCGAGGCACACACTCAGCACTCCACAGCCCACGACAATATTGGAGCGAACGCACTTAAGTGCCCGTACCCGATTCCGATTCCATGCCCTCGTCTCAGGTTCCGCCTCCAACTATCCGGACTTCAATTCCAATTCCGTGCCTTACATTAATGCACTGCAAAAAAAACGAAAGTTCCCTGAAATAGAACAATTTAATACAATTTTTATGTCAATCATTAATTTCCTGTAATATTTCAATGAAAAGTTGATGTGTTGCCTCAATATTCTTAGATATAATATCAAGAAATAATTCTTATTTTAAGCCCGATTTTGTTACAAATTTTTCCTGTGTAATCTCGGCTCTCGAATGATTCGCATTAAAACCTGCACGTTTCTTACATGCCAATCGGGATTTTCTACAAGTAGATATAAGTTCATGTGCGCTTGTGTGTTCATTTGGCTTAAGTTTGTGGTCAAACGGGTTTAAATTTATTTATGATTGGATTTGATTTTATTAAATAAAGCGAGAAACAAAATAAAAAACTCCGAGGCGAAGTCAGCGGGCGGTGGTCGTAATTGCTCCAGGAGTGCTGATCAATTGATGCGGGTGTTGAGAAGGCGGCGCGGCGGGCGCGATGCTGGCTAATACAGTTGTTAGACAAAGAAACATTCGTTTCGAGCCCGACTTCCGCATTGGGCTAACAACCAAAAAATTACACAAAAAATATAAAGCACAAAAAACAGAAGAGCAAAAAGCTTACACACGAAAACACGAACATCTTGGAGGTCTCTCCACTCCACGAGGCTTCCCCCGTGCGAAAGTGTTCCATCGTTTTCGGATCTCGATTCAAATGTCGATGGCTTCGACTCTTATTTTCATTTGCGTTTGATTCACTGAGCTATTTGCTGTCGTAATATTTTTGCCGTGCGAGTCTGTAATTGCCCGCCCATCCAGTGCATTTCACATTAGAGGTGGCAGCGTGTGTTAGAAACAGAAGTAAAATAAAATGTTTGGTAGAATAAAATAAATGATGTAGGAAACCTACAGTTGCCCATTTCTGCTCTTGAAATAGAACTTGATTATTGGGAAACCAGTTTTTGTAGAATTCCGTAGAGACAAATTTAGAAGAGTCAAGGTTGGGTCTAAAATTAAAACATTTAATACATTAACATAAAATAAATGCGTGAAAAA